ACTGCGAGGATTACTTTTTTAAATTTCGTTGTACCTGGTGCGATGACAATAAAGGAATTATATTCTATAAGGAAATGTATACATTATGTGATATGAATGCTAATGGGACACATCGACGTCTGCACTCACAGTGCCACGGACTGTAGGCAACGTAATGTTACTTTGATCCGGTTACTTATGTTGTGGCAGATATTTAATTAAGCTTTCTTAACATAATAGTATAATAGTTATAATAGTCGGATTGCTCTGAAGATGGGAGGGGATGTTCTATTCATTTTTCACGTTCACAGTTCACACAGTCGGTGATTTTGGCCGGCCGTCTTTCCTGCAACGGCAGTTTAAACTGTATTTCCTCCGCACACTGAGCTCTGATTGGTCAGCAGGCGTGGTGCTTTCGCTGAGTTGATCTCCTATCTTGGAACCTATCCTGCATCGGAGCACAGACTAGGTTCCAGGATAAGTCACCATGGAGATCTAGCCCGCTAAAAAGTGAACCAGCTTCATAGTACCGGAAATCCCAGAATTTATCTTGCTAAACGAAAATCCTGCTTCGTAGTATACCCCCCTGGCCTCTGGTTTCTCCATTCTTACCTACCCTACCTTTAACATAGTCCAGTAACAATAATATTCATAATTAATAATAGGCCTATATATATATATATATACAAAAAAACGGTGTGATTAATTTAAATAATATTTAACACAAACATATTTTCTAAAAGAAATGCTTAAATGGCTCTTACAAGATGTGTAGGTAAAAGCCAAAGACAAGACGAAACATATTAGAAGGTGAAGCCTCCTTACCAGTGGTCACTGTAAGTAGGCTACATTTACTCAGTGTTGGTGTAAGTGTAAGCTTGAGTACATATTCGAGGAATTCGTTTTTCATGTATTGCTACTAAACTTTACTCCTAATTTGTCTGACTGCTTTGTTAGTTAGCCTACTCATATCCCTGCTGAATAGAGACACAATTTTGGAGATTTTCGGATTTTAACTGTAAAAATAATTATGGCTGACAGCTTCGAAGATCTTCATCCCTTCATTTTTTTTGTATTGACTCTACCTCCGCAGATCAGAGTCATGTTTCCTGAAAAAGGAAGTGAACAAGGGGACATCTATTTAAGAAACTTAACTTTACCCCTTGAAGGAATTACTCTTGGAAATGCCACTGAAATGGAGAACCAGACCATCTGTGCCATCCACGATTACCTCAACCACCACCTGCCGCCAATAGTCAAGGATCTCTCCATGGACCCGAACAGCATCCTCAAAGGAACTACAACCTTTCTCACTCAGTTCACAGCAGCTGTTAACAAATCAAGAGAAGGGGAAGATGTGCTAAAACACTGCCACAGAAATATCACAACTTCAGACCATTTCAGTATGAAAAGACTCGGCCTCAGTATCATTTACTACACCAGACGATGGTTTGAGGAGTACACAGAATCAACCACCTGTCTGGGCTTGCCAGATTGAGAAAAATGTATCAAACACTCCTCAACAGTTATTGATTCATCTTATTATTTGTTGGTATGCTATTTAAGGTTTTCTATGTTTATTTATTGATATTTGCCAGTATTTAATTTATTTATATTGAATGATGTCTTCCACCTTGTCTATTTTTGTATTAATAAGTTGCCAATAATAAAATATTTAAATCATACGATTTTTCTTTTTTTTGTGTGAGTGATTTAACTCCTAGGAGACAATTTAATGTTATTTATCATCATCCCATAATCTATTACAATGCACCTCTGTTTTGAAATATACACACACACACACACACACACACACACCTCAGGTATAAAATGCAGTGTCCTTGTTTGAATGGTGGCTGCCTATGATATCAGAGACAGCACACAACCATTTGACATGGGCTCGTAACCCTATGTGCGTGTCACAGTTAGCCTGCACCTATTTTCCACCTCTGAGATGGTTTTTGGGATTGGTTGGTAGTTAATCAAATCAAATCACATTTTATTTATATAGCACTTTTCATACCCAAAGGTAACTCAAAGTGCTTCAACATAGACAATTTACAAATAAAATCAAAACCCCTTCCCAAGTAATAATCAGAGTAACACATAGCTTTGTGTATACATATATATATACACACACATAGTAAAAAATAAATACAATAAGAATAAAGTGATAATAAAACAAGGAATTAAATCAGATTAATAAGAATACAATTCAGTTAAAAGCAAAATTATAAAGGTGGGTCTTGAGTTTGCTCTTAAAAATATGTTCGCTCTCTGTTGCTCTCAGGTCCTCTGGGAGGCTGTTCCACAGTCGTGGGCCGTACTAATAGAAAGACGCCTCACTGTGGGTCTTTGTTTTCACTTTTGGTATATGATTTAAAGGCCAGTACCAGAAGACCTGAGGGTTCTAGAGGGCTAATAGGTTTAACTATTGGACTGAACTATGGACTTTTCATTGAAAAATAAATAATCTGGTTTACTGGAACAGATGTGAAAAGTACTTGGCTATTGCAGTGATAAAAGTTTTACATTCTCACGAGGATGGAAAATGTTTCGATATGTCCTTATCTATGAGTAAAGGTGTTGCAATATGTGTATGGTGTACTGTAATTTATGTACTGACCATAACTGTATTGTTTAATACCTGGCATTTTGCGATTAGTGTTATTGATAGCGCCAGCACCTATTATATAATATTTTTTTTAAATATTAATGAATTAAAAGTTTAATTAATTAAAAGTTTAATGTCTTCACGATCCTCCAATGCCCTACACACAGATGAGTCCTCTTCTTCTAAGTTACCGATGAATTTGAAAAATAGCATTATACATTTTTTTATCACATTTTCTATTGAAACTATAATAATAGTGTTATGAGTTATTATGGTCACGATAATTATGTTGAATCACATCAGTTTTGAGTCTGGTACTGACAGCCTTCACTATAAGGTCCAAAGACTGTTGTGGATATTTTAAACTCGTCAATGCTGTAAAGATGTACAATGAGAGTAATGAATAATAAACTGGTGAAAGCAAGCAGCGTTGTCTTGTTGGTTATTTATTTGAAGCTTCAAAGGCACAGGTCTCACAGAGTATAGGATAGTCTGCAGAAGTGTGCGCAATAGTCACAGAATAGCAAAGCTTATATACAAGATAGGGCGGGCAGACAAAGTTTTATGTGTAGCTGTCGAAAGTATAACGGTTATCAGCATATGGAAGTTCAAACTTAGTGTGAAGAGGAGTATCAGCATAAAAGTTCAAACTTAGTGTGAAGAGGAGTATCAGCATAGTCTGCCAAATCAGCCCTTTGGCCTTGAAGTGCTTGAGATTAATGACCCTCTTTAGAGTATGCAGAGTAAACAGCACATATGAAGAAATTGTATAGTAGTGTTAGACAATGCTTTTATAAGCATTTGGTTTTAGCATATAAGGTAACATAAGAAATGTCCACTACAAGACACACACACACACACACACACACACACACACACGACTTATTCTGTGTCAGCATACTGGAAATACGCAGTGGGAAATGTAAACATGTTGATCATTATCTAAGGATCCCCAATAAAAGGGATCATCAATAGATAGATGAATCACAGAAAGTCTCACATCAGCCTACTGACTAAAGCCTCCTCTTGTCATGGATTGTCGCGCTGGTAAGCATCTTGAAGTCCTTCTGTTTCTTTTCTGAAACCTGGCAGTCCTACATCTTCAACTTCTGCAGGCAAAATTGAAAAATACTTGAAACGTAGTAGCCTAGTGACAGAAGATATCCTTTTCTCTGTTTATGTGCATAACATATGTGTGTTTTAAAAAATCTTCTTTATCTCCACTATGTGATCTTTTATGTCCCAGCAGCTGTTATCATCTTCCTGTGCCTGATTATTGCACAAGCAGCATGCAGACCAAGAGACTTGGTTATGAACAGAACCATCAAGTGTATGCAGACTGACATACGGAAAACTCTGACCGACCTCGTAAGTGTAATTAAATCTAGACTACTTTATTATTTATTCATTAAAACTGCCCATATGGAGATGTGCATGCATTTATATTTATAATCAGAGGGAACTATTGTACTTTTTACTGCACTAGATTTATTTAATAACTTGAGATATTTATGAGATTTGGATTTTAAAATGTTTTTCCCAAATTGGGGTCAATAAAGTACTATCTTATCTTACACAATAATAATGAATTCAAAACATAATCAACGTATAATTGATCATGTATTATAAGTAAGATACAACTTTATTTATCCTTTAGGGAAATTAACATTTGTTTAAATGCTAGCCAGCTGTAGCAGTGTGGTGTTTTACCCTTTAGTCCTATACGTTTTATAATTATTTAACAGCATTGGTAGGCTACTTATTAAAATCCATAAAAATAACTTTAATAGCCAAAAATCAGTATTTTGGCGGCAAAATCCGCACACAGCTTTGACACTTCACATGCAGGGTCAAAAAGATCTCATTATACTGAAAGTGGTGCAGTTCAAGCATCACTGGTCAGTCCAACTTATCCCGGGTATTGGCATTTTAAACAGTGTATTGATATTACTTGCTGATATGGCCACATACTGACCAAGTGTGTCTCCTGCAGGCTCCAGTGCTTCCCAAGACCCCCTGCCACTCTATGAACATCACATGGCTGGTGGAGTTGGAACAACCCCTAACCGCTCACCGCCTCTCCCTTCTTCGCTGCTACATGCTGAACATATCCGCGATGGCCCCAGATCTGTCGAGGGACCTGGGTATGATCAGCCAGCAAACAAAGGTCATGGAGGATCTGATGAGTAAATCCGTACCCCAAAGGAACTGCAGCCTGCCTGCCATGGAGATATTGGAGGCCTCTCGGAATGTTAAATGTCTGCTGGAGCGTCTAGACGAGCAGCTTAGCAAAGTAATATTAACTGTGTAGTGTAAATGTAACTATTTTAAGGATCTTTTGAATGGTGAAAATATGATATTTATAATATGATATTTATTGAACTTCATTGAAAATAAAGCAAGTCAAGATTTTCAAAATTGTTGCTTTTATTGTGATTCCGAATCATTCAAGGCTTATTTAAACTTGTTAGGTGAAGAAATTCGGGAACTTTGCAAGAACGCGAAAAAATAAAACATAGATGCAACACATAGAAAATCTCTTTATGTCGTAAAACAATAGAAATATAACACTTAATTGGTGAAGAGCCAACGTGAACGGATGCAGTCTGCAATGATTGTTCACATCAGGTACAAAACCCTCAGCCTGGTATGACAAATATTTTACAATCAGAGGGGAAGGGAAAAAATAACAAACTAAATCAAATGCTACAGTGTTACACTGGGGTATTTGACATAGGCCGATTGATTTGCATCACTGTGAATGTTTTAATTGACATCAGTGATTACCGCTATCCCTATCTTACTGTATAGAGCAGCCTGTACATTAACAGGTCAAGTATTTTAATCATTTACAAAAACAAAAACAAATAAAAGACTGCAATCTGCAATCCAAAATAAAACACACAAAAAGCTGCACATTCAAGAAATAAGAAAGACCAGTGTTGCCATTTTCTAATGTAACACTCGGAGTAAACAGGGTTGTTCTGCAGAAAAAGAAAGAAATATCCCAAAATCATTGCCTGCCTGAGAGAGCCGAACCACAAATTAAAGTAAGGGCAATTCATTTTGAGTTGAAAGCTGATATACAGCAGACTGCACATTGTCTTATTGCAAAGCAGGCAACAGAGCATCGTCAGTAACAAAAACAATGAACTATATGTCGGTTAACTATGTTATTTATTTGTTTTTGGGTCTGTTTCTGTCTTTCCACGGTATAAATTAATGTGTCTACGAGCAGAAAACAACATAGGCAAATGTGACTTGTAACCTGACATCCAGAGTTCGAGTTATAATCTGAGCATCCCTCCACTTGGCACCTTGGAGGTGAAGTGCAGGCATATTGTCATTCAAGAGAGAATACAATGCGTAGTTCTTTTGGAAAACAGGTTTTTCTTTTAGCCTATATTTACCTCGTTAACGAGTAATAATAGTCATTACATTGACACATGCATTTTTTGTGATTAAAATAATGGTTGTTGGTAATGCGTCCCCCACATATGCATGATTTCACTGCTTTCATAGGAGCTCAGACCCCTCCTTATGGGAGCTCAGCTCCCATTGGCTCCCACATAACTCGAACCCTGCTTACATCCCTACGACATGTTTCCTGCGGAGAAGGACACCGAATAGAGTTTTTTCAGCTAAATGGAAAATAATTACGCTGACCAGCAAAGCCCTGAGTGACTACTTTGCATTCAGCTAAGATCTTGTAACACTGTACATGTGAAATATGGTATATAACCTCTACTGCTATTTCAGTTAAGTTCCCTATGAGGGCTGTAAGTAATATTGCTCCATGATGCTGTGACCTGCCCAGTTAAGACCCAGGTATGTAACATTCATACTGTATTGAAGATGACTGCTTTCTTGCACATTTTGCAGTTGAATTCACTGGAAACGGGCAGAGCAAACAGCGTATGAAGAAAAATGTTCAGCATGGGTGGAAAACCACTTGCAAAAAGGCATTCACCTGAGTAAATGATAGACAGAAAAGAAGACAAAGCACTCTGCTTCCTTGTCCTTATTAAAGCACAACATTGGTATTTTTGAACTTGGACACTATTCTAGTTTAGTCTTAGTGACTAATGGGTTAACATTTCTTTTAAATTGGTCATTTTGGGAGAGCGCTGCAGACAGCAGACATGAGGAAGGCTGCACACACCCATTTTATCTGCCTTCCATCAAGCTCACAATTCAAGATTTGTGTTTTTACATATAGAGCTGAAGACCATCTCATCTGGCCTTTGTCTCGCCTCATACTTCCATTGTGTATTTTTAAGATCTGTTATTTAGGTTTAACTGTTATAGATTGTACTGTTTTCGGGTGTTGTGATATACTAAATAAACATACTTAAACGCTTGCTTTTGGCAATGGCCGGTTCAGAATGTTATTATTATTACGTCTCACAACATTATGTAAGGACAGAGAAATAAAATGTCTTTAACACCGTCTTGATGCCGCTTGGTGTGCTGGTGTTCTCAGAGTTTGTTTTGTTGGAGTAAAGAAAGTGTAGCTTAGTGTTATCTTACAGGTTTTAATGTCATGGCTGCTGTTTTTGACAATGTGGATGTGACAATATTTCAGGTGGAGACATTTCCGGGCTAACAGACCGGAGCAAGTGAAAGAAAAAAAATGGTATTCACTGAATGTCCTTTCCATAATGCTGTCAGACACTTACAAGAATAATATTTCACAATATGAGCATGTCAGTGGCCAAAAAAGCACTTCAAGTAGAAATACACAGACAGTGGTTGACTTACGGGAAGGATTACATTGCAGCGCTCTCCCTGCATGACTAATATTAAAATATTGTTTTCCCCATTAGTAACTTGGATACAAAACCATGAAGAAATAGGGTCCTTGTTGAAAAATATCAGTTATACTTTAAGCACAAGTGATTTTTGTGACCACGTTTCAGGCAATCCTCTACACTCCGATATAAAACCTATGGAGGTTTCAGAGCTGCCACAAACAACGCTATACTCCACCATCTCCTTGTTATGAAAGCATCTTATCTCTACACTTAAACAACTGCTAGAGAACATAAGATGAACAATCACTCAATAATTCCCTTTCCAACACATTGTTGTGCTTTCACATCATGCAAGTCATTTTTTATATATATTGTTGTTCACAAATAAACACAAAGTACCACCTTTTGATAACGTTTTTAAAAGATCTTCACCTGATATAGGCGAAGGTAGACGTAGTTGTCATTAAAATACAACATGATAAAGCCATTTTTGCACTATTGTTATACAAGTAATGTAAAAGATAAGGCCCCCTGTGTGCCTTATTCCCAAGAATCAACGTACAACACAACAAGTGTAGGACCGTCGTACATACAGAGTGAAAGTAGCTCGCATTTTTTCATTTTGTTTATTTTTCAGAGAGGTGGAGGATCTGTGGAAGACGTGGTGTCCTTGCTGAGCGGCTGTAAGGTGAACTAGTGATATGTCATTTTGATGATTGCTTTAAAAGTTTCAGGTGTTTTTTTTGTCCGCCTCACCTCAGAGAGCGAGGCTACACGTCTGTGTGTGAAACAGCCTGGATGGCTTCTTCAGGCAGGAGGGATGGATCGCTTAGGATGGACGTGTTTGTGCTCAGCTTGCGAAGAGTACTCAGCACCACTAAAAAAACAAAACAAGAAACTGCATTTTAGTTACCAAAACTGGACTGTAAAACAACATTTTCTTTACAAGATACAACTGTATCTGTATGGATGTACTTGATTAAAAAATGTCAAAACCAATTTTGATTTGGAAGCTCATTACTTACTAACTATGACTGACATATGTGTGGTTACTTGGTGGGAGGTGATGCTTGGTCTATTGTTAAAAAAAGCTTTTTTGGAAAATGTTAATGTTTGCTGTTATTTTACATACTCTGGGCAAATGTGTCATCTAACAAGACTTTCTTTTATGACTGCTGAATGTAATATTTGCATTTTTTCCAGAATGCATAATAGCCCTGTTTTTCATGATAAGGACAGTGACTCAGGGGAAATTTAAAACCTGTCTCATAACCAAGCAGATCTGAATGATTACTTTTGAGGGGGCAGTCCAACCTGTAATGGAGTAAAACAGTGGAACGATAGCTTTTTCGATTATCTCTCCCAATTGTTTTCTGTTTGTGTCTAAGCCCGATTGTAGAACAAACTATTGGGGAATTTGGCCTTGGTGGAGGTTTGCTTTATCTGAGTTTGCCTTTAGTTCTTTACCATTTCCTGCAGCAGTGCAGGCCCAGCCTCCAGCGAAATGCTAAAACTGCGACTTTACTGATAGAAATCTTTGACGTCACCATTATCAGATCAAAGTGTCATTGTTAAAGTCACACTGAGTCAGCAATACAAGAGTATGTTTTGAAGTGGTAGGAAAACAATTATTGGAAAGTGATTTTACACAACGGAAAGTTAGATGCACTGTTACATTTTCTGTCATGGCATGGCTGATTGATGACTACATGAAAAAAATGAGACAGTGACAGATAGCAGGTTTTTAACCATTACACACTGTAATGATCTAACACTTTGCAGTTAGAACAAAGCTGGACTGCAAATGCTCCGACTGTTGATCTGTAACAATATGCCCCTTTGATACATGCCACCCCAAAATCCAGATGTATGTGAGAATGCAAATGTATGAATCATTCAGACTAAGTTATCAAACAGAAAGTCATTTTCTGTGTAATGTCCAATTGAGCACATGTGTGAACAGATCTCCGCTCATTGTCCGGAGATTTCACGGCTTTTTGATTTTCTTTGTCGGCTAGAACACAACCGGATGCAAACAAATATCTAAGGGTGAATAAAAGTGGTCATTTACATAAACTGGAGAGAGATTAGAAAATGTTTTTCTGTAATGGCCGAACTAAAGACAAATTCAAGGAACAGCAAGAGACGGTGTTGTTAATGACCAATTCAAGAACAGTTATGTGACCGTTGTGTATTCCGTGTCATGTCGTGCCTCCTTGCAGGCTCTACCAAAGCGCCACCACTTTCTTAAACTGAACGTAGTGTTTCCGGTAAGTGAGGATGGGTCTGACACGGACATCTCCTGCTTTGTGATAATCTGGATATTAACGGGAGTACATGAGGAAAAACTGCGATAGAGTAAGAAGGCAGGTGATGTATAAAATATCTGTTCTTCTGGATTTTCACCTGATAGTCCTTTACTTACTGGGTCTGAGCACTGGGAGGGAGCAGTGACGATCGACCCACTGCAACGTGGTCTGACACAGCTCTGCTCTGCTTGTGGTTGACACCATCTCATTGAATGAATCAAACAGAGGCTTGATAATGATGCTAAACTATAAATGGATGATGGTCAAGGATCTATTACACTACAGAGTGAGACAAAAACAATTCTGCCTGACCAACTGTAAGAGCGCAAGACTGTAACATTAACATATTTCGCTTTTACTGCCTTTAGTAAAGGACTAAAATATGAACACTGTCAGAGAAAATTACTGCACCTGATACATGGCCTCTGCATTTGTTAAAAAACTAAGCAATTTCCCTTCCTAAATACAGTGTCTTGTACAACTTAATGTACATTTTTGGTTATACACCTAGGTATGGAAGCCCTGAGAGACAAGTGGCTAAACAGATCTTGTGATCCATTTTCTAGGTTTAATCTTAATTAATGGTTGCCCCTGTGCTCATGACTAAAGAAAAAAAGGCAACAAAAGCCAATATAAAATCATTCATGTTTTCTCCATTTTAAATGTCTCCATTCACCCATATATTGTGGGTTAGTAAGGTGAACTTGCAACATCACTGTTCATTGAAAATAAAAACTCACGTGGTAGAAAATATGAATGATCTTAGGTTTCTTGAACATGGTGTAGTGGTGCACTTCAGCCTCTTGTGGCCTGAATGAGTAAAATAATAAAAAACATTTGGCAAAATAGTTTGTTTTGATGACTGAAACATTTCTTGGTCCAATCTTTGTTCAACCTTCTTCATAGATGAAACAAAAACAGCTAATAAAGATCATCTTCGCACACCTTTTCCACCTGTTCTTCAGTCATAAACACAGGACAGTAAACTATTTAGATCAGACTTAGAAAATTGTTCACCAGAATTGTTCTTCTTGCATCTCATGGAGCCATATTAAGGCTACTAAATGAAGTTGAAGAGGTCTGTATATAACCTGGACTTAAAGTAGATTGCTTGTCCTCAACAGCCATTGGAAGATGTTAAATGTACATTGTCCTCTGTTATTAATAAGCAGCAATATGTATCAGCCGCTTTATGTAAGGATACAATCCAGAACTTCCAGTTCTGCAGGGTGCGGTTCATCACATATTCTTTGAACCTCTCCTGCATGTGTTCAAAGCGGTTCCTCCTGACGGGCACCCCTGTCGCAGGCAGCTGCTCCTGGCACGAGCTGTGGTTGAGCAGAAACATTTGAGTGGTAATCAGTTAGGTATCTGTTCAACTTTTGTATATCAGATGAGAGGTGAAGCATATAGAATGATTTGAAATACTTAATGGAGGCGTTGAGCTCCTCTATCTCCTCTCGTAGTCTTTTGACCTCCTCCTGCATCTGCTGCCTCTCCTGCTGGAGCTTCCCAATGTGATCCACAGTCTTTTGCAACGTGATGGCATTACTGATCTAAACACAACACAATGATAATGAATATCATAAGGCAGATTGCAAAGTAAATGTGTATAAACTATATATAGCAACATGAACAACAATAATGGTATCCTGAAAAATAACTAACGATGAGTTTCATTATCCACTAACCAACATATTCTTGATTAATAGTTATTTCTTGATATATAAAAAGAAAATATATTCAGTTTGATATTATAAACACAACATTATATTCTTTATGAAAAATGATTGTAATTATTAATCCTTAGATAAAAATGTGTATTTCAAACGATTAACAGATAAATCAACTACTCATTGCAGCTCTAGACCTGCATCTGTTGCAGAGGTTTTAATAAGACACTTACATTGGATTGGGACTTTAAAGTAGGGATCAGGTTGCAGAGTGTTTTATAGCCAATGTTTATATTTGATCGTCTCTTTTGCTCAGCAGATATGTGTGTTGTCCTTCGGCTCTGTCACACAACAGCAGTGAAAATATTACACAGAGGCTTACTGAGATTGTATCATGGGTTACAGAGGAACAAGTCAAAATGCTACTTATGTATAAACAGGGTTATACAATTGCCAATGGATTTAATCCAGCCTTTCTTAATTCATTTTCAGCATTGGGATTGCCCTTTTCATGCTTTAATAAATTGTCATTTTTTATTCATTGCAAATATGTTTTCATTAATTGCCCCAAGTCTGCGAGAGACCAAAATGTCATTCAATATCCACACACACCATATATTTAGCATTAATGCAAATAAACAGGTTAATGTTAAGAAACAACGACGCATAAACACAAACCTGGTTTTGTTCAATCTTCACCAGCGTTACAGTGCTGCTGCTGATCAGCGACTGGGGACTAGGAGCTTGATCTAACCCACACGGGGATCCCTGACCTGATTCTGGCTGACTGTGACCTGGAGAGAACAAAAACAAACCAACTTGTAACGAGTTGTGGGTCAACACTTAAGATTTTCTTTTTTGGAGGAGTGAAGTCTCACCGGCACTGGAGGAGGCTTTTTGATTTTTGTGGTTAGAAGACTTTTCTTTGGGGACTATCAGTTGTGGAGACTTGTGAGACACAACGTGAAATCCAGGAGCCTGAGATGCAGGACAAGAGAACAAATTGGCAGGATATTAAAAAAAAGAGGACAGAGAAGCACAATAATAAAATATGACCTCACTCTGAGGTAAAGTTTGTATTTTACATTCATGCATTACAAACGACAGGAAAATGACAATAAAATGTAAACGTTGCCGTTTTTAAAATGTTCTATTTGCAACTCAAATCTCTTTTGAGGATGAGACATCAAGTGTAAGTGCAATTTCCTGTATATATAAAGGTTAACACAAAAAATAAAGACCCACAGAGGAATAAGAGCTGAAAACATACCCCTCCAAGTTGAGAAGGAGTGATGACTACTCCAGTATTATGGACGTCGGCTTTCAGAGGTGTTGGTGTAACAATAACAGCGTTGGCATGACCTGGGAAAGGGGCTGAGAGGATGAACATTGACAGGCGCTGCAGGATGACTTTTATGTGCATTCATACGTGAACATCTATTCAGGAGTTATCATTTTTGACATGCTGCCACTTCCTTTCTTCCTCAGGGGATTTTGCAGAAAAATGTGGTGATTAACATTAGTCTGTACAAGTTTCATTGTACGTTGACTATGTAATGCAACCAATTGTTGTATAAGTTATTTATTATATTAGCTCTAGTAAGTATTTCAATAGTCTAGTATCTTGAATAATGTTTTAAATGTGTTTCAGATTTTAATGAAAAAACAATATTAAAGAAATAACATGGTATTTATTTGCTACTATATTATTTTCCTCATTTTTTTTTAACGGTAATAAATTCATAGGAAATGTACTTGCGTACACTTCAGTGCTTACAAAAGGCATCATTGTGGCCTAAACTACAACATTGTGAATCAAAATACTGAATAAGAAAGGCTTGAGCGCTATCTTGTGTAATTTAAAGGGGACCTATCATGCAAAATGCACTTTTGTACGTCTTTTATACATGAATGTGTCCCCGGTGTGTCAGGGAACTCACCAAGTGTCAGAAAACACAACCCTCTCTCTTTTCCTCCATACCCAAATCTCTAAAAACGGGGCTGCAACAGATCTGATACAGACTGATACAGATTTGAAATTGTTCTGATGTCAGAAACGGGGAGCTCCGCCTATATGGCCAACTCTCCACCTATCAGGGGAATGAGAGGTTGCGTGGCATGGTAACAGCATGGTAACAGCATGGTAACAGCATGGTAACATGACGCTCGTGCTTCGTGCCCCCTCCTTTGCGTGGTCAGCTGCATCTCATTTGCCACAGAATCAGCCCTGGCAAAAACAGGGCTGGAATACAGCAAATAGAGCAAAATGAGGCATGGCTAAAATGCATGATCTGTTTGGTATTTTGAAAAAAAAACTTCACAGACATGTTTTGTATAGGTATGGCCCTACAATATATTATTCAAATATAGCATGATAGGTCCACTTTAAGTTAAAGTGACACAGCTCCACTGACAGATCAACAAGGTAAAATGCACATTTTCTCCAAATGCAGAAGCAATAGCCGCGTTCACACCGGAGTACTTTTCCCCGTACTTTTCCCGTTTAGTTCCGTTAGTACCCCTTATGTCGCGTTCACACCAAAAAGAGTACTTAGTGCCAGGAACTTTTACCCCCATTTTTAGTGCCTGCTGAGAGGTGGTACTCTCCTGGGGGAAAAAAGTGCCCCAGTTCTGATTGGCTGGGCGAATTGCGAACCACGCCCCGTAAAACTCTGAAATGTTTTGTAGAGCCGCCATTGTATTTGCTGGCTATAACATTATTAGCATTAGCCCCGCGCACCAACGCAGAGAGACTAACTTATGGCAACACAAAATAAAACATGGGAGCGGTGGAGATGAGGAGGTGTCGGCATTCTGGCGATTTAGTCGGAAGGCTTCAGTAGAAGCTGCTGGGAGTCCCAGCAGCTTCTACTGAAGCCAGTCCCCAACTCCGGGGACTTCCGGCCGGGGACTTCGGGTGGCAATATACGCCGTGAAGTTGTTTGCGGCCTGCCAGTAAACCCAAAGCAGAAGAAGACGAAGTGACGTCAGCGGCTCATTTGCGTAATCTTCCCTCAGGGAACTTATTCCGGTGTGAACGCGATCTGTACTTAGTGCCCTGGGGTAATAAGTGCCGGGGCACTAAGTGCCGGCAAAGTACTTCGTGTGAACGCGGCTTTTGTCTTGATTTTGAGTTGAGAAACAACAGACCTGTGAGGATGAGGTGGGAGGTGGGGAGGGTGTTAGCAGGAGCAATCCTTTGCACAGGGCGATTTTTGTTGGAACTGGATGACTGAAAGGGGCGAGGCAGGACAAAAGTCTGAGGGTGCCTGACAGGAGGGGCCGGTAATGGAGCCAAAGACTGCAGTTGGGAAGGGGGAGGCGGTGCAGATATGGAGCTATACTCTGAGGCCTGGCTGAAGTTGGAGGCTGCATCGCTGGGTGGGACTGTAGAGGGGGCGGTGTGCGTCTCATCCAGCGCTGAGGTATTGTCCAGCGGTGAGGGAACCATCGGAGCTGGTGCTGAGGTCAAGTCCTGACCAGAAAGGCACTGCAATAACGGATCATAGCTTAACGGCTGAGAGACTGAGGAAACTACTCTTAGATCACAGGGCGCCACCTGCCCAGGAAATAGAGGCATGTAGTTTCTTGCATAGGCAGAATCACGACCACCAGCTCCTGTTGGACTGGTTTGACTGGCCATGGGAGAGGGGATGGGCAGAGGGCCAGGAGGGGATATGTGGTTGCTCGTGAGCATGGAGGACATTAACTGGGTCTGATAAGGAATGACAAAAGGAAAAGAAACAAACAAAATGCAATAACAAAAGAGATACAATTCTGTGTAAGTTCATAAAATATGTACATTTCACTTTTATGCTGGTTAAGATTATGACAACAAAAGGGTTTTTACACACCAATTACACACTCTGACCCCGTGTCTACATCGCAAATGAAGCGACTCTATACCGCTTCCATCTGATCGGAGCATTTCAAAGTGTCAAAGGGTAAAGGGACTTCCCATCCACAATACAGAATCAACCAATAAAGAGGGAAGGGTAAACAGAAGATAATTGTGGAAACATTTCTGTCAAACTAAAGCAATTGTGTCAGTGTTCACTTTCTATTACATTCTATAGACAGTTCAGGGAGATGCAAAATGCCTTTACCACTAAAGAAAAGAGGCCACTATTTCCCCTCCCCTGTCTTTAAGTGAGTTTAAGAATTTTTTGTTTAATGAAGTTAATTTGTTAATCTAGGTTCAGGAGCATGGCCACGCCTCAACCCCATCGCTAATCACGGCTAACTCTTTTTATATCCGGCCAACATCCTGCCACCGCTTGACAGGCAGACCGCGATTCACGCCATGCGTCATCACGGTTCAAAACATCTTTAGACGCTACTACTAAAGCTTTAAACTCACCATGGATCCCAAATTGCTGATCAACCGGCCGGAATCATACGAAGATCCATGCAACGATCTTTTAGAAACCGGTTATCCGCCATCTACGGCACAGCACGATCACAGCCAAGCATCCGAACGGAGCCGCTTGTCCTCGGCCGTCAGTATCCCACACACCAGCCGTCACTTCCACTCAAGGAAATGTCTCCAACTCCAACACAGATCCTAGGCCTCCTTCGCCAGTGAGGGCCAAAAATCGGGGCCGAAACGGGCATAGCATTAGCCAGCACCAATCCTCCCATCATCGGCAGCATGCCTCATTCACAGCCACCGGCTCTTCACCTTGGCGCACTCGACACGCCTCTCGGCAGAATCTGCGTTCCGAAACGGAGCTCGACATCTTATAAAATCATCCAGATAGACAGTTTGTTTACTTTCTTAGCAATGGCTTCACTCAGGGTTTCCACCCAAGTATAGAAATACTCCCTAACACATCTCATATCTGCCACAACCTTCAGACCGCTTGAAAAGAACCTCACACTGTCGATATCTTACTGGCTACAGAAATCGAAGAAAGATTAATGATAGGCCCATACGATAATCCTCCCTTTCCCATGTTTTACAGACTCCTCGACGATTTTTTAGGCATCACCCTGGACTCAATGTCCTTCCAGGCTTCTCTACCCTCAGAGAAAATACAACGCATCACTCTTCTCCAGTTAAATTACATGCAGGCAGACAAATGCACGAAACGTCAACTGTTAGCCCTCCTCGGCCACCTAAATTACAACCATTCGCATAACACCACAAACAAAACCTTTCTTGTCAAACCTGCTGAACAAAGTTGCATCTGTCTCCTCCATCCACGATCAATTGGTTCTAGACGATGCTTGCCAAACACATCTCTGGCAACATTTCTTGTCTTTATGGAATGGCATCTCCTTCTTTTATGACGATTTCATCACCAAACCCGAGGATATTCAACTCTTCACGCAGCACCTTCTGTAGGCTTCGGCGGCTACTATGCAGGGAGATGGTTCTCTTCCGTCTGGAGTTCATAGCTCTCAATTCACAGGTGCTCTCTCCTTCATCTACGCTTCACAAACTGTACCCAATCATCATAGCTTCCATTCTTTGGGGGCACGAATGGTCTAGGAAGCCATACTTGTCTAACAGTCTTGTCTAACCGATAACAGTGCAGTCTTATGGCGCGTTTCCACTGCAGGCCTCGCTCCGTTTGGTTAGGCCTTATTAGGCCCGGCTCACTTTAATGCTGCGCTTCCATTACAGTTTAGGAACTGGGGCAGTTACTATAGTAACGCAGTGTAGGCGGAGCCGTGACGTCATCTTCCATGAGAGCCCCAGAAAAACAACACAGCCGTTAGCTCTTAGCACTCAGAGCTCACAGCTCCTCATATCTGTTCAGAAACTAGACAAAAGTTAAACAAGTACAAACCACAGACTGCCTGTGTCATGGCGAATACAGTCGCTGGTTTATTTATGTCTGTATAGGCCGTTGTTGTGAGTGTGGACGGTCGGAGCATATATAACGTTAGCTTAGCCAAGCTCCATTTAGAAAACACGCATTTTAAAAAGGGTTTTTCGTCTGCCGTCTGTCTGCATACTTGTCAAAGCATTAATTCATGGTTTTTACTAACCGGTATCAGTATGTTGTTACTTCGGCATCATTTAGAAACGTGTATTACAATTAAATCACGGTCAAATATGTTCATCTTGTTGTAGTTGTAGCCCCCTTGCCAGCGATTCTCTCTCTAGTTTAGCATACTCAGCCCGACTCAGCCTGGTTGTTCCTGGCCCTAGAACCACGATTTAGTCGGGCCAGAAAAAAGGTGAAAAAGTAGCCCCGGGCCAAAACTAGGCCAAGTGGAAACGCAACCAAAAACGGGCCCCCTACGGCTCGGCACGCTTAAAGCGAGCTACCCGCTGCAGTGGAAACGCGCCATTAGAGATCCTTAACAAAGGCCGATCTTGCTCCCTGGCCATCATGCAGTTCCTGCCCAAACTCACTTTAATCTCAGCTCAACACACATTCCAGGTCATCAGAATAGCATCGCCGAGTCTGTGTCTTGTTTCAGAAATTCAGAAACTTGGCCCCAGAATTGGATCTTCATCCCATACCAGTCCCACCATTTTCAGCAACAACATTCAATTAAGTCCACAACTGGAAATGCTCTCTCACGCTTCACGGGAAGCCATCCTCAACAGCCTTGCCCCAAGCACCATGTTAGCGTATCTTACAGGCTGGAATTGCTTTAAGACATATCACGGCACATACCAGCTACCATTCCACACTTTGGACGTCATGTCCATCTGCAATTTCATTACCCTGTTATTACATCCGGAAATGCCAGACCTCCACCATTCAGACCTAGTTGGCAGGAATCAACTTCTTTATAAAAATAGCCAGTGGCCAACAATGTCCTTCCACGTCCCAATGCTGATCAAAGGCTTGCGTAAGCAGGAACCCTCCCTCACCGCCAAACGACTGCCACTCACTTCTGACCTTCTCAGCCTCTGCATCCATTCCCTAGGCTCAGGATACTTATCACCCATGGTCGATCATGGTCGATGCATGTTTCTGCTACCATTTTTTGGCTTCCTGCGATGCTCCGAATTTCTATCTAAATCTAACATACTACGAAGGACTAAAACAGATCAGCTGGGAATGTCTTTCCCCATCTTCCGCCTCAACTCCTATCTCATCCCATACGAGCCGCTAACAAAATACCTCAGCGCTAGGTACGCTGCCCACCCGACGCCTCAACATCCACTCTTCTCACCGAAACAAGAAAATGGCCACACATTTCATTTTCAAAACATCCTGCGTATTTCTGGGATATTCTAAGAACATTAGTCTAGCCCATTCCTTCCACATCGGTGCAGCGTCCACATCGGTGCAGCGTCCACAGCGGCGAGACTGGGCATCTTCGATCAAACCATCCAGGTCCTCGGCCACTGGTTATCCCAAGAAAACCATGCTTACATCTGCAACAATCTAAACGATCTCAGACATGCACACACTCAACTCAGCTCCATTTAATCCAGTGGTTCTCAAACTTTTTCAGTCATTCCCCACTTTGAACAGGTGTGCCTTTTCAAGCCCCACCTGTTCCTCATCGCTCCAATAAAATGGTAGGCCAAGCTTAAAATTGTCAAATGTATCTTTCTACAACAGGGGTCTCCAACCTTTTTTAGGATGAGAGATACTTTCAAAAAATAAAACAAATCGTGGGCTACTTTTTTTGCAGTGTATATATTTAGCACATTTTAATATTATTATGCTTACCTTTAACCTTTGTGTGCTGTTTGGGTCTGTGGGACCCGTGTTCAGTGTTTACTAAAATAAAATGTATTCAATTTAATTATTTTAACCTGCTTTATTTGGGGGTGGACCTCACATCGTCTAGGTGGGTCCGGGGGCACGCACCCCAGGGAAGATTTTTTGTTTTTTAAATGTGGAAGTGAAATGCATCAATCTGATGGATACAGCTCTCAACACTCATATGAAAGGGAGCTGTATACTTTTCAATAATCCAAACCAAATTATCACAACCAATAACAAATCATTTAAACTTGTTTATTCTTATCTTATGCTACCAAGTTAGCATTCTCTTTTTATTTATGCATATTTTACTAATCACTCCCCTTTCAAACTGTTTCTTTTTTTTTTACTGTCCTATAGTACACATTGGAATGATTTCTTACTTTATTTTATACAACTAGGCTATATTAAATAGATAAAGGTGTGCTCTCTCTATCTCTCTCGCTCTCTCTGTCTGTCTCGCTCGCTGACAGAGGCTGTGTGCTCCTCCGTGGCGATGGCGGCTTGCGTTAAAAAAGAAAAAAAAAAGGCCTATTTGTAAAGTGGGGGAACACAAACGGGATTTTGAAAAGTATCACGGTTAAACTCCTTATGAAGTGGTGAGGTGCCGCTCCACATTGCTTTTCTTTCCGACTGCAATGCTGTTGTGTGTGTGTGTAAGAGCGTTTCACATGTGTGTATGAGAGATTTTTACAAATCTGTAAATTATTTTGGTTTCAGTTGTGTGTGTGTGTGTGTGACAGCGACGTGCAGTCAGGGTAGGCAGGGGAGGCAGAGCCTCACCTGTCATACTCCAATGTAACGGAAAAACAACTAAAGAAAAACTAAATAGTAATAATAATAACATGTCTCCACTGATCTGTGTTGTAAGTGTGATTTATGTATGATTCCAATCGCTTTTTATAGTCAAAATCAGCTAATTTGCCGAGCTCCGCTACAACTACGGGTAGCGATGAGAAGTGAGGCAGGGACGAGCTCTCCCTCTCGTAAACCCACAGTAACTGGCTGGAGCGCGGGCACTAATTTAACGCGGGCACTTATTTTGTGAGCGCGCTCAACCCAGTTACTGTGGGGTGAGGTGAGGCACAAATGAGCTCTGCCTCACCTCAGAATGCGTCAAAGCTGGCCCTAAGCGCATGCCTGCAGCATCTCACTGTATGTCACCAATTTAATGTTTGTAAATCCCTTTATTACATTTATCCCCGCCATCCATAGTCTCTAAATAACTTATTTCACGTATATGATATTTAGGCTCGCTGGTCTCATCATACAACGGCAATGAAGAAAGCACCAGGGGAGGCAGCCATAACCTCTGCCGCACTGAAGGGGGCGCAAGTGAGCCCACATGTTCTTGTTGCTACTGTTATTCTACGTAGAGACCGTAGACGCAAACAACAAACTAGACTTTTGAAACTAGAGGAAGATAAGGAGGACTTTTACAAAGTGACAAGGGGGGCATTTCATGACGGGGAGGCATAATGTGACACAACACCGGCACTACAGGGAGAACATCAGAGAGGATGATGGCATGAAATAAAAGCAAAATTAATTTTAAATGTTTTGGATTCTAGAAAGGAAAATAAGTTGAATGTTAAGCAGAGGAATAAGTAATGTATGAAAAGTGCTATGTGAATACATTTTAGTAATACTATGTTACATAGTTGTGTTGTGTGTGTAACTACATTAAGACAGAAACATGTTAGAAGATGTGACAAATGTGACCCGCTCTATGGAAATCAGTCGGAAGTCGCAACGGCTCATTTCAAAATAAACGTGGATTTGCATAAAAAAAAATAGTTTTTCGGGGTGTGGGTGTTTTGTTTGATTTTAACTAAACAAAGTCTTGGCTTTCAGAATATGAAACTTTTATTTCCAAAATCACACGATAAATACATTTTTGAAGCTTGTAATCCATACGAAAATATTTTCCGTCGGTAGTACTTTGATCATTTATTAGCTGCTAATAATCAATCAGATCGATGGATTCCAGAGAAGAAGAAACTTTGAAGGCCTTTTTCTCAAAATGATGACTCGGTGACAGTCATTATATAATGTGACATATTTAGCTTAATAGAAAAGAACAAAAACAATCCTGATATCATTAGAAAGCTAGGAATCTCCTCTTTCCAACATAACTCAAAATGTGTCTTCGGGTCAATGCGACTGATTTCGATAGAGCAAGTCACAAATATCCTCATCAATTGACCAAAAACACAAACAAATTGAGGAAAAATATCTTTGGACAAATCTCCTGCTGGTGGTGTGTGTTAGGGGATGTGGCTTTATGTGTGTTTACCTGGGACCGAGAGCTGCTGCTGGGTAGAGGGGTGACAGATGGTGCAGTGGGTAAAACAGAGGGGAAGACGGGCGGACGGAGGCTGTGAAATAAGTCTGGAACAAGAGTCTCTATGTTAGCAAGAGGTTAGTAAAACCACACTACTTTGTGCGTTAGGCTAAGCAAACTGCTTTTCCAGAGTTACTAGAACATGTGCGTTGATTCCTGTAAAGTGTGTGTGCACCACTAATGCAGCTACAGGTGGTGCCTTACTCCTACCTTGCAGTGGATCAAAGGAGTCCATGAAGTCTAGGTTGGGTTGTAAAGGGATGAGTCCAGGTTGGATCATGTCTGCATTCCCAGCATGAGCTGTAGAAGGTAAAGAGGCAGAGGTAAGGAGAGGAGGGGGAATACAAAGTAAATTACCACTAAATAAAGCAATAGTATCCCTCCAAAATGATCATTTGTACATCTCTTACTTACCCTGTGTTACCTTGAATCAGAAATCGGAGTAAAGACTTGATAAATGAAAATAATATTAGGGCCGTTTTAACCGCATCAATACTATATCAAAACATACATTTTTAAACTGTCATACATCACATTTCTAAAACACTTTAGACTCGCACAGACAAGAAGCATGCCTGTGCATGAGTGACACTGTTTATGTGGTAGAGTTTTAAATAGGAAGGTTTTAGCTAAATGCATGCGTTTGGGAAGCAGTGGGCATATGAGTGGATAAATTAAACTTGGAAACAGTTTGGACATAGTCTCAAAATATGTATTTCTTAATAACATGTAAGGATAAATCATTAAACCAGTTTTGAGATTTGTATTTACTAAGTTTTGCTGTTATTAAACCCGGCCACTATAAGTAATCAAGTTCAGAAACGTTTTTTTGAACAGTTCTGGGTAACACAGGGGGTTAATATTCCTTTAAATTACTGAGAAAGTAGGAGACAACAAAAATATATTTATGATGTCTTTACCACATAAGATACAATGCTTTTCTCACCAATCTCCCTTGGATTAGGCCATGCTATGTGCTGGTGTGAGGCCAAGGTTGAGAACAACGTGTCTGAAAACTCAGACATCAGAACATCCATGTCAAAGAGGGGGTCCATCTCCATGGGGGCCGGCATTTCATTATGCCTACGAGGCACACGGCGAACTGCAGTCTCTTCATCCTGATAAAATGAGACACGGAGCATGTCTGGAGAGACTTCCCCAAACAGCGAAAACTGCTCCTCGGGTCCCTTTGGGTGTTCAAAATGCAACCAGCAAGCCAGTTAATGACACACAAGCATGCAGTGTTGAGTACAGCAAGCATGGGATACACTAAACCAGTGGTTCTCAAATGGGGGTACGCGGACCCCTAGGGGTACGTTGGAGTACTGCAGGGGGTAAGTGAGATTTATTCTAACTTAAGTCTAACTCTTAAGTGTATTTTGCTCGGCTCAACGGTCCGTCACAGCGGGCGGAGCTGTGATCGGGCGGAGCTGTGATCATGCAGAGCTGCGTGTTCTCCGTCAGCAGCAGCTGATCTGATCTCTGATCTCTCTCTCGCATCTGGTTAGACTTCACTCGCGTCTATGTCCAAATCTATCAGATCTAGCTAGTTCTAGTTAATTATATGACTGCCTGCTTATCAAAGGACCTAAACAATAAGCGTTGCTTGACAACGGCGTGTGGCCGCAAAGTATAGCGCAGCATTATGCATAACGTTTTTACGAGGAGTCAAAATCCCATGCTCATAAAATGCTCATATATATTTTTCTCTTCATTCCCCACGCCCCAAAATCAATAAATATAACAATTTTAGGAAAAGTAACGAAGTTTGATCAGTGTGGGTTTTATATTAACAGAGTTACACATATTTCAAAACTCAAAGTGTAATAACCGCAATTGCCTCCCTGTCAGAATGACAAAGATCCTCAGTGAAGCACGAGCCCATGTTTCTCACTACATTGTAAGTACAACTTATTAAAAAGATCAGTTCACTGCAGCTAATGTCGTCTTAGTGTTATTGAATGATGTTAAAATTGGTTTGCCATGAATTTAGTGATGGATTGTAAACATTTGAAATGTAGCATTTAAGTTTTTCTCAGTTACAATGTTGGTGTTTTAATAAATCAGATGGTGCAGCGCTGTACTGTACCTCTTTAGATAGGCTTTTTTTCCTTAACAAATTGATTTTGCGCTGATCAGGGGGTACTTGGCTGAATTTTTTTTTCAAAGGGGGTACATGATTGAAAAAAGTTTGAGAACCACTGCACTAAACTATAAACAACTCTTTGTATCCACACGTCATGCACTAGAAACACATTTATAAATGCATATATATACAAAATATTTTACTCTGACAGCAAGATCAATGAAGTGAAACTAGTCAATAGGAATTTGTTTATATCGCCAGGTTTATCCATTGAAAGGTATGTCATAATGTGAGGGTGACTGGGTTAGCATGGGTTAATTCATGTTGGAGCTAAAAGCACTTTGGTGGGTTGAACATGATGCAGTTTTACATACCTTAAGTAAGCTTGAGAGGTCATCATCCTTGTGCTTTTGTAACTATAAAAGAGATAATGTTAATGAGCAGTAAAACATATAGGATTAGATACAGAATACCCAGTATCTCTCTGAACTATTACAGAGCCTTTATATACACAATTGAAAAATAGAATACCCTTTTTTTAAAGTATGTTCTCCACTTGTGGTATTCTCTGATGACAATTTCAATTCTCCTTTTCAAGCATTTCCCCTCTGTGGCAATGCCCTTCAAAAAAGAGGGGGATGGGGAAAAATTGAAGTTACAAGTGAAACATAAATACAAGTGTTTAAGAGAGAACAGAAACAAATGAATGGAGGAATTCGGTGACAAGAAACAACACAACAAAGTTTGAATTGCCGTTGCGTACATCATAATAGTCAAATGTTTCTGTCTTTACCTCTGTAGGACGATGGACGTCCAAGTCCATGGTTCCATCCAGGGGAGTTGCAAAGTGACACACAGGATTCTCCCTTCTCTCCACATCTGGGGGTAGAAAAACAACTTCCATGTCACCCCAGGTGAAATGCACAGTGGTTGTTATTCATACTGTTAAATTACATTAACAATTAGGGATGAGACAATAGGATTGTATGCCAATTGCCAATTTGCTGTCATGGCGGAGCAGTGATATGAAGAGCTTAATTTACAAATAAATACAAGAATTATCATGTAAAACTTAACAGACTCAAACAATGTTGCCATTCATTTATGCAGAGGGTTTTATTGTGTTTTACGATTGCCTTATTTCAGATGTTTTGACACTTAGGTACTTAAAGGTCCCATGTCATGGCCATTTCCACTGATCATTTCCATTGTTGAGGTCTACTAGAATAGATTTATACTGTGCAATTTTCCAAACTCACATTGGTTTCGCATACAGCATCTCTGTAAAGTATGTGTATTCAGCAGTATTCACTCTCTCCACTAAACGGCTTGTTGCAGCTCATTGCAGCTCTTGCCCCCCCCCTCCCTGTGAGCCCAGTGTGCTCCGATTGGTCGGGACCAGTCGGGACGTTGTGAATCGCGCTGAGCTCCGTGGAGGTGTGATTTCCTTGTTTAGCGATACACAGCGAAACACAGCCAAACTCACCCTGAGCACACACAAAGTCACAGCCGAAGTAAAAACAATAAGTGTGGCTTGATATTGAGTAAGAAAAAGGTTGATAAACGCTGTGAGAATGGGTCTGCAGAGAGAATTTCACCGCAATCCCAACTGTCTGTTATCAGCCTGCAGCCAGGGAGGAGAAATCAGCAGAGCTGCCTGCACTGAGTGTGTGAGGAAGTCTGTGGATTGGTCAATTTGGACCAATCAGCGGGGGCTTAACGTAACGGCTCCGTGGACGTAACGTAACGGCTCCACGGATTGGTCCATTTCGTTCCGGGGACGACATGACGTCATGATGTACCAGGAAGAATCAAATGGACAATGACGTATCTCCAACGAGGCGTTTTGGGGAGGTATTTTCTGTGTTAGAATTTTACTCGCTACAGGGTGTACTTTGAGGGTTTTGACTCTGCACACCGTTTACATGCATAAAAACCTTCATAACACACAAGGGGACGGGTACTAACCGGAAAAGCATGACATGTCACCTTTAACACAAAAGTGTCTGTGTAGAATAACTAACAGTCACTGTAACCAATCCACTCGTGGCATGTAAACGAACAATAATATTGCAGCAAGTTGCGAACAGGGTTCAAATATGATCTTAAAATCATGAAAAACAAAACCCAGTTAACCATTTTACAGATAATGTTGCGAGTTCTGTTAGTTTGTTATAAACCAAACGTATTAACCAAGAAGAAAAGTAAAGCGTTGATCCTGACGTCTTCTCGCCCCAGCTTGATGAAAGAGATGTTAAAATTCATGTCATATTAAACTAAATACTAACAATGCAGTGTACGCTCTATGGAAGACAAAATGAAAGTTGAACTCTTACACTGCATATACCAGGCTCTCCATATGGCGTTGTTGAGACGGATCTTGTCTCTCCAAAGCAGTTTTAGACCTTTGAAGTTTTTCCATTTGGGAGATACCAACATCCCACTGAAAAGACAAGGACATGACACAAGTCATTTTATGATACACAATTGTTGGCTTACTTGCACAAGTTCATTAATAGCTCAATAATAACTAAAACGTTCAAAGATCATAATCCTCAGCAGAATAATCCTTATTCTATTCTTGCTTGTGGAGGATAAAAAACATTTTCAACAGATTCAAAGACTAATTCTAGCACCCTAACACCTTAACTGAGAATATTAAAAAAAGTTTGTTTTATCAGTAATCTTATATGCTCTATTTTGTTAGGGATGACGGGATTACAACATGAAGCAGCAGGAAGAAATGTCTCCCAAAGGCTTTTAAAAAGTCACTTTGAACCTGACGCTTTTCAATTACTTTAGCCATTAATAAGAAAGAGAATGAGGCTAGCTCGCTGTAGCACTGCTCCAGCATCCATCCCTCAGTAAAAGGTAAGATAGCACGGCTTAGTAACAGGAGTTCCATGTCTGATGACGGACTTATCTGAAGGTGGCTTCTCATACCAGTACACTAAGCCCTGGAAGAATGCCTCTTCTGTTCCTTGCTTCAGGAACAGAAAAACGCTAAACTCTACCCTGAGGATCTCAATGTACTCAGTCTATGGTGTACACATGACTTCAAATAAAAAAGGTTGCTTGCACTGGCAGTGCAACGAAAAGACCTCCAGAGATAAAGCAAGCAAAACAAACTAGCATCTGCCAAGGCCACGCTCAAGTCAGATTGATAACTACAAGTTTGATATGGAAACAACTCAAGTTTAGAGTCAACTAAACAGAGAGCCAACACACGTGCACTATCAAATGAAATCAAGGCCTCATCGGAGGGATTCATCACTATTATGGTAACAGTATGTGAAACTTTTTATTACAGCATAGTGGCCTTACATAACCAAAGCTGTGGGCGGTCTGATAAAAAAAGTGTTTTTAAGTCAAACAGACTATAATAAAAAAAGTGAGTATTGGATTAAAACTTTGTTGCCTAAAGAATGCAGAGTGTATTATTATTAATGGATCATAACAGTTATATGCACCAACATTTTAAAAAGTTTGTCAAATAACATGACTTTAGTTTAGGTTTTAGTTATTTGAATAACTTTAAAACAGGTTTTCTCATTTAAAATCTGCTTCGATAGAGAAATGTTTACCACGATCCAAAAGGTTGAGCTCAGAGTTCCCCTCTTTCCTTCCTTCCTCTTCAGCCTTTCCCTGTTGTCATTTAAGTGCTTCATTTTTTATGAATACTGTTTAAAAAGCTTTTCCAATAAGTAAGCAGGTAGTACAATTTGAACAGAGAAAAAGCTGTATTTTACAGATCCCCTGATGTTCTTGTTGTTATTAAAGGCTCTTCATGTACATACATAGACATCACTTGAGTTTCAAACAACAACAGAACATTAACTGGTAGTAATGCTTTCCTAGTCTATAAATAGTTGAATCCAAGTTGGTGCCATTTGCAAAGTCAGAGTCAACCCTGAGCAGCTGGTTCTGCAGCCCAGTAGAGTAACTAGATTAACTACACTACAGTAAACACAGAATCATAAGTACGAGGGTTAAGGTACAAAGACTATGGATAGGTACCTCCCATTAAGCCCATTTACAAAGAATCATCTTAAATGTGAAAAAGCCTGACTGAACACGTCCTGAACAGTGCCTGCTGCCAGTGTTTCAACACTATCTAAACAAAGCAGTATCTCTCTGCCATGAGAGAAGCCCTTGTCTTTCTGCTGAGATTAAAGACTTGCATAGCCTGTGGTAACTTCTGTGGTAGCAAGACGCTCTCATTGCATCTAGTTTTGGCACCACCGAAAATGAAAGTTAGTTCCTGGTTGCTTGTTTAAAACGTTCCATCACAAGTTAGAACAATGATCTCTCTTTTTAAGAGCAACAAGAGTGTGATCTGAGTTTATCAGGCCCTGTCACCAGTCATCATGTCCCAATAAAAGAGTACCACATGATATTTACTACTATACTGAAGTATAAACACAAAGTGATTTGCAATTGTCTGTATATCTCTAAATGATATACGTATCATATGTATATACAGTATAGTATAAACCTATACTCCTGCTACTGCAGTATTTTGACCTTTTAAAAGAACATTTTATAGAAAATGTGTTATATTGTTTATATTTGATATACTATTTATTTTAAATTGTTAACTCTATTCAGCTTCTTAAGTATTTGTATTTTAATGTTGAACACACTGGCCCTGTAACTAAATAATTTTCCAATTTGGGATTGATAAAGTATCTATCTATCTATCTATAGATCTTTACTTGAGTGTTCCCATTTTAAAAATTAAAAATAAAAAGAATATGTTTTTAAAACAAAAACATTTGATAAGATCATTTAAAGGGTTTTACAACTTGTTTGGCTCGGGACCCATTTCAGATGTCTATGTATTGTTAGCATTTCCTCTTAAAGCTTCGCAAATGGTTATTTTTAAATAACTGCTTGGGGCCCGAAGAAAGAAAATGTACTAAAAATGAATTGAATGCATTGGCGGTCATACATCCTATACTTAGGTAGAATTGAGTGCAGCACTTGTGCTTGTGATGGAGTATGCTTACAAGTGGTATACCTACTCTGTGGTATTGGTACTAGTAATATACATTATATTTAAAGATGTTTCCCTTGACCAGAATCATGAGTGGTCAAGCAGGAAGTGACACTAGAGGAGTGACATTGCTGGCCTCGTGACAGCAATTAGTGTCCGAGCCCTTTCCTTAATGTTCTGATGTGCACAGGGTTGAAGAGATAACATGCATGGTTATACGGGGGGGTTGAGATGTGTTATCATTACAATAACATACCTGTACGCTAGAGTCATGCATTCAAAGAGTTTGGTCAGTGAAGCATCTATGGAGAGGTGGGACATGCTCGCCTTCCCAAAATGATAAGTTTGACAGGTCTGTTTGTTGACAGTGTCGAAGTCGTAGCCCTTCTTCGGAGGGTGCTCGATGTGCGGCGAAGACACCATGAAGTGTCCGCTGTGGATGACCTGGTTCTCCAGTCCGTCCGCCCTGATCAGCAGACCCGGTGGAGGCTCCTCCGCATCCGAGTCTTCATCATGACCCTGCTTTATGATCGGCGGAGGGCGCCGGTATTTGTACCGTAAAGACATCCCTCGCCGTCTGTAACTCACGAGACAAATAGCTAACGTTAGCTAGCAAGCTAGGACAATAAAACTGTCTTTTTCATGAGGCTTGGCAGTTTCAGCCTGACTCCCCGTTAGAGTTTTTCAACGTCATGCTGCGGAGTCCTGTTGGTCCGTTGCGACATTTGTAAAGCTCGCTGTTTGTAATGAAATGCCTAAGTTAACTTGTTGTTGTCTTAAATAGTTTACGTAGCTGCGAGTCGCAGCGACCAGCTGGCAAAAAACAGCCTTCAGCTCCTCTCTGTCGGAGCAGGAAGTTCCTGTGCTGAAACGATTCTGATTGGTCCGAGTCACAGCTCACCCGCCGCACAACCTACAGTTAACCCAGTCTACAGTCTATGCCAGGGGTGCCCAACCTTTTTTGAACCGAGAGCTACTTTTAAAGTTGCCAGTCTGCCGAGATCTACCAGTCCAAATAGAGAGGCGTAGCCATTACTGACAGCCTACTACAAGATAAATACACACTTCTACCTGTATAAAACTTATGGAAGCCCATTTCCGCCACTTGAAAAAAAATAAAATCCCCATGAAAAGTCATAATTATGAGATAAAAAAGTCGAAATTATGAGATAAAAAGTCATAATAATGAGATAAAAAGTCATAATTATGAGATAAAAAAGTCGAAATTATGAGATAAAAAGTCATAATAATGAGATAAAAAAGTCGAAATGATGAGATAAAAAGTCATAATAATGAGATAAAAAGTCATAATTATGAGATAAAAAAGTCGAAATTATGAGATAAAAAGTCATAATAATGAGATAAAAAGTCTTAATTATGAGATAAGAAAGTCGAAATAATGAGATAAAAAGTCATAATTATGAGATAAAAAGAGACACTTTGTCACAACAGACAAACTAGCAGCTCTTTGGCTCGAATTCTCCTATTTATCTTGATACGGAAATGGATTGTGAGTACATTGAGGACTACTTTAAACGTGGATTTACAACAGATGAAATACTTAATTTGCTTGCTGATTCACATGGAGTTGTACTAAGCAAACGCACCCTTGAAAGGATTTTAAGCAAGAAGCAGCTCTGGCGTCGAAAGAATAAAACCGATGTGGCTGAGGTGGCAACCTTCATTGAACAGCAACTGGAAACATCTGGTCAGTGTCATGGTTACAGATGGATGCACCAAAAATGTTGGTTACATGGAATTGTGACTGACAGAGAAACAGTGCGAATACTGCTACAGTTATTGGATGGTTAAGGTGTTGATCTGAGGTCAAGAAACAGACTGCGAAGGCGCATCTACCACAGCTGTGGTCCAAACTATGTATGGCACATTGATGGTTACGACAAGCTTAAGCCATTTGGAATTGCAATCAGTGGATGCATTGACGGGTTTTCCAGAAAGATGATATGGCTTGAAGCTTACAAAACAAACAAAGACCCGAAGATCATCGCTGGCTACTTTATTGATGCTGTTATCAATGCTGGTGGGTGCCCTGCCAGACTCAGACTTGATTTAGGAACAGAAAATGGCCATATGGCTGAAATGCAGCAGTTTTTGCATTTTTCTGTGAACCAAGCTGAAACAGACAATGTAACCTTTGGTCCAAGCACTGGAAACCAACGTATTGAACAATGGTGGCTGACCTTGCGAAGTGAGTGTGTCCAGTTTTGGATGGACCTTTTTGACAAACTGAGTGTAGATGGCTACTTCTCAGACAACTTCTTGGACAAGTCCTTGATCCAGTTCTGCTTTCTACAAATAATACAGGTACTTGTCACATTATGAAATAAATAAATGTTGAATGTGGTGAATATTTTTAAAGAGCCACAAATGACCATGTGTAAAATAGAAATTGCCTGTTTTCCGTGGAGAGAGTGAATAATAAGTTATTGTTTCTGGATAACAAAAATATGTGGGTATTCAGAGTAGCTGTGTCAAATAAGTAGGGTTTATTTTCGGGTTTATCCACCACATTTTTATAGCTGTTAAGATATAACATTAGTTGCACTGCTGCAATTTACATTTTACAGTTATTAATATGATTGTGCCAACCTACCATAGTACAACTAGAAGACACATCTCACAAATATAACAAACCATGGGTCAGGAGTATACTTGACTAAGGCAGTAATCACCACTGCCCAGTATTTTTATACATTCTATTTGACTGAATATTATTTGCCTCCGAGGAAGAACTTAATGAGGTTGTATTGACTTGGAACAATCACAGAGTCCGTCAAGTCCATAACTCACGATCACCCCATGGACGTCCCTCCATATTGCATGCAGTCCCTCATCTGTATGGAGGCAGAGATTGTTTGCACCACGTGGACCTGGAGAAAGTTCAAGTCTGTCTTGATGAGTGTGTGTTCAAGGACTTCCCATGTGATGAAGATGTGTTTCATATCTGTGTGGATCTAATGTCAGAGTATAATCTGAAATTAACAAATGATGTGTTTGAAACTGTTAACCTGTATATCACACTCAGACAACTGATGAACAATGAACTGGATCATTAACTTTCCTGGGGCAGTGTCACAATTTATATTTCAGAAATGTGTATTTGTTTCCTGTTTCATTCCAGAACAAATTGAAATATATATACTGATTGCAATTATCAGAATTATGATATACTTTAACCTGTGATGAATGAAAATATAATTGTAGCTGTTTGAGACACGTCAAATATGTACCAAATATTCTCAGTACATATATTTGTATGTACACACAAACAAAGTCATGTGTTGCCCTTAGATTGACTATGTGTAAAAACAGGATACAAATGCAAAATACACACATGTATTAATATAATTATTTATTCAATTATTTAAACAGATAGCATACAAAATTGCTGTTTTCATTCATGCTCCATTTATCTGAATCCAACCAATCAGCTGGCAGACTTCAATAAACCTCTGAAATCAAAATTGCTGTTTTCATTTTGACTGCATTTTAATCTAACTTGCTACAGTATCAGCAGTACGAGAGGTGAATTATGTCCAACAACGTGTCACCACACTATAAACTATACTCCAAATTCTCCAACTAAGGAGGAAGGGGAGCATTATTTCATTTTATTAGATTTTATTGATCTTGTAATACTTAAAAAAAGACTCTTGGTTAAGTGTGTGTGTGTGTGTGTGTGTGTGTGTGTGTGTGTGTGTGTGTGTGTGTGTGTGTGTGTGGTGTGTGTGGTGTGTGTGTGTGTGTGTGTGTGTGTGTGTGTGTGTGTGTGTGGTGTGTGTGTGTGTGTGTGTGTGTGTGTGGTGTGTGTGTGTGTGTGTGCATGTGCATGGTGCGAGAGTGAGCGAGCGTTTTTATGTTTCTGGAAGTAAAACGAAGCAGCAGAAAATATAGGTCTGTGAAGTATTTTGTGTAACAAGAAGAACTAAACAAATGCAACGGCCTCTCTCCAGTCATTTCGATATTATTGAACCTGAAGCTTGTTGCTTCGGCCCTGGGAGACCACAGAGTAATCCCCTGTTTCCTCGACTACGGTCTGGGAGCCGACAGGAAAGTTCAACACATGCATAATGAATGCTATCCATGCTATCTGACTGTACCACTTCGGTTTGGTGATGTTACTGAATAATCGCTATGGCATTAGCATTTCCCCCAGAATAGCAAAACTGAAAAGCGATAAAGAACGACAGTGCAATGTACAATTAACGCATGACTTTTTAACCACTGCGTTACATGTACTGTAGGCTACTATAATTAGTGGTGTATGTACCGTAGCTGAGATAACATTTACGGGTTAGTTAGGCTAGCAGCAGCAGCAGTATGCCTACACTATTGTCATTAGTGGCGTGAACGTTACCACAAAACTATAGGCATAGGCATATTATAGTTCATAACAGGTAATGTCAAAGCTATGAACTGCATTGTTGTAGTTTAGCTGCAATATAGGCTATATAACATCTAACATTTACAAAAGTCACCTTATTTAGGACTAGATGCCGTTTGCATGGTGGAGAGCAGCAAGGTGATGAAGGGACCTTTGAAGACAGCGCCACTGCAGCGCATGCGCACTTCTTATCTCATAATTATGACTTTTTATCTCATTATTTCGACTTTCTTATCTCATAATTATGACTTTTTATCTCATTATTATGACTTTTTATCTCATAATTTCGACTTTTTTATCTCATTATTATGACTTTTTATCTCATAATTTCGACTTTTTTATCTCATAATTATGACTTTTTATCTCATTATTATGACTTTTTATCTCATAATTTCGACTTTTTTATCTCATTATGACTTTTTATCTCATAATTTCAACTTTTTTATCTCATAATTATGACTTTTCATGGGGATTTTATTTTTTTCAAGTGGCGGAAATGGGCTTCCATAAAAACTGACCTTTGTACGATGAATACTTCATAAAATACTGCAGATCCTTTATCTTACCTCTTTCTAATCGACACACATACAAGTATTTAACTGAAGTTACACAACAGTGTTGTTGATACAGAGTTGGAGTTTATTCACACGTCACATACTACAGTGGGTAATGTTTTCAAGAAACATTGAACAGTGCTGCCACATATGACACAGGGAAAAAAGAAAAGACTCGAACCCTTTCTTTGCCATTATATAAAAATAGTGTTGCTACAAAAGTATAAATGAGGCTTACTAATAAGACAACTCAGATCTGAAGCTGCTCAGGAATCTGCGGCCAAAGTGCAATAAAAAAGACAAAATTAATAGAATCAAACCCTTTTTTGTTGCATTTTAGTAGAGTATAAAAAGAAACACCTTTTAAAATAGGATGCAAGCAACACTAGTTTCTTAACCTGAATTGATAATAGACTATAATCAATGTAAACAGAACAGATCTTAATGTTTGCATTCTTATACCATGTTGTACAATAATTATAATGAATAAGTTCAAACAAACTAAAACTTACAGCTGATTAATAACGGTATCTAACTTGAGTTTTTATTATATCAAAAGCCTGTTGAAATGCTACTGTTATTTTTACTGTCCCCCAAAAGCGCGTCGGCAGCCTCCAGGAAAGCTTCTTTCACAACTTCGCCGTCTTTGAAAGACTTCATGTGTTTCGCAAGAACGTGACTGACACGATAAGATGCTCTGGCAGCAGCCTTGCTCTTGTTGTTGGGCCTGGTGGAAATGGACTGCTGTGCATTTAGCTGTCCTTTCAGGCCCCTCCCCTTTTGGGAGCGTAGGGCAGAATTAGGAGGGAATTCCGTCTCGTAGCGTTTGTGCACTGTTTTGAAATGCCGCTCCTAAATTACCCTTCTTCGATAAAGCCACGCTCGCATTGCAGATGAGACAGATG